ATGGAAAGCCCTGCATCAGTAGGACTGGCACGTTTCTGTCACACAGGGAAGGCGACAGAACATGGAAGACCCTTGCAGGGGAACTACGCACCATGCTGCGTTCTCTGGGGGTTCCACCTGCACTAGCATTAAGGAGAGTAATGGGAGAGGTTCAGCTGCAGAAGAGGCATGGTCGCATCAGCAGCTACACAGATCCACCAGCCAAACCCCTGCACCGACAGGACGTGGACACACAGCAATGGACTCCACAGCGTCCCTGATATTTTAGCAGCAACTGCGAGAGGCACAGGCAACCCGAACAGAGAAGGCTCTCTCTCCAGCAAGTCAGCAGAGCAGCAAGCTCTCTCCCTCTGCTGTTCCCTGGTGATGAATATCTAATTTTACGCCCCCGCTGTATTTACTCAGCAGAGCCATTAGCCTGGCTATAAACTCCCAAACGGTGGCACAAGCTGATTTGGGGAGGTGAAAATAATAAAGCTGCAGCACTGCTGTATCACTGAAAGGAGTCGCAAGTCCAAAGCAGTTTTTCACATGCAGACACTCAGTTGTAAAATATGGAGGCTTAAAATTATTCGTAGGATTTATAAACGTACAGAATATCCTGTTGTCAGCCCCCACATCTTGTGCAAATAAGTTACAAAGGCCCATCTCCAGTTACTGTGGAGGCGGATCAAGTAATATACTTTCTTACTGATGATTATCTGTCATGAAGGTGAAAGCACAATGAGTCATGCAATGGGTTTTCACATGCAGTCTGCGTTATAAATAGACGTGTGAAGATATTTAAAGACAATTTGGGCAAGATCCTCAGGCGGTGCAAGTCTGTGCAGCTCAGCTGAAGAGAAATGGAGGTACAGGGATTTACACCATCTGAGAACCAAGCCTCCTATATCTGCTGAAACCTAACTGACCTGTCCATTGATTTCGGTGGGCTTTGGGTCAGACCCCATGAAGCAATGGTGGGCAACCTGCGGCTCGTCAGAGTAATCCGCTGGCGGGCCGCCAGTGGATTTATATCTGCATGGTTGCCCGCAGTGGCCACGGTTCACCATTCCTGGCCAATGGGAGCTGCGGGAAGCGGTAGCCAGCACGTCCTTGCGCCGCTTCCTGCGAACCGCAGCCACTGGCAGCTGCGGGTGGCCATCCAGATGTAAACAAACTGTCTGGCAGCCTGCCAGCGGATTACCCTGACAGGCCACAGGTTGCCCACCACTGCCTTGAAGCCTTGTAACATCCATACGGTCATTGACCCTCTCCGTGGAAGACCTGAGAAATTCCAGATGGTTGAAACCCTGCCCCCAAGAGCAGCCCGGGAGGCCTAGGCACCACAGAGCCACTGTGGTACAGCCGTGCTGTCAGGGACTCGGTACCCCTGCACTCTCTTCTCTCTGGAGCCTCACTGAGAGGGTGATTTATTGGGGCAGGCAGAGGGTGGATTTATGCTGGCTCAGTTCCACTGGCCTCATACCCTCCCTCCCCCGAGGAGCGAGGTGGCACAGGAGCCCCAGCCATTGATACAGCTCATGAGCCATTGCAGAATGACCACATGTGCCTTTCACCCGAGAGGCTCCTTCCCTCATCTCCTAAGCAAGTCACCTGTAGGAAGCCAGTTTACTAGAGCTTTCCAGGAGGGAAGGGGGCAACATTTGCCCAGCTGGATTTAAATCCACAGAGGGGGTTGTGTGGCATTATGGCAGACTGAATTTAGTTTTGGAGATGTGCAAGGCCCAGGCATATTGTTAAAGACCATCTAAGCTGTGGCTCTGCGGGGAGAGTATTTGGGAGTCATCGCAGGAGCTCAGACAGATGCTTGCCCAGTGTGAATTCTAAAAAGTAATAGCACTCAGGATGGTTTGGTGCATTAAGGGATGGGAATTATTTGTGCTGTAATTTGAGGTGGGACTTGCTAGAGAGAGTTAAGAGGATAATGTGGAAGGTACTGATACAGTGAGCAACTATGCCTCTTCATTTGGAAAAATCTCTTGTTAGCTTCACTGAGGTTTGGGTCTGGCCCTTGGAGTTCTGTCTCCAAGCGTGATCACCTCCCTGCAGTGAAACAGCCCAGAGAAGGGGGAAGATGCTAAAGGTTATTTTGATGGGACTTATGTATGAGTAGAGGTTTCAGTTGTTTGTGCAAAAATGACTTGAATGAGGTCATCACAATTATTTAGAGGTCACTTCCATACTTAATTGGTAATGTCACATATGCATGGCAGGTACAGTCATGCTAGTGACCATCAGCTCTGTGCTAGCATCATGGTTGGCAATTCTGTACATTCATGGTCAGCAGCAACTCCAGTGCTGAGCTGGGGTCTCATAAGGTCAGATCCAAAGCCTATTGAAATCAATGGAAAGATTCCCACTTAAGCCAATTAAGTGATTCCCACTGACTGTAGGGAGCTTTGGATCAGGCCAATTGTGACTACTATTGTGAGGACAGAGGCCACCTACTGAAAGTATAGTTACTCCCTGTAACTCTACATGAGTATTTTCTGTCTCAGTCAAGAACAATAACAACAAAATCTCTTAAATATTTGCTGGTCACCTCTCCACTGGGTTGTAAGTAAGAAGAAGAGGCAGCAAATATGATCATGCTTGTTTAGAAACAGGAGACAGGAATAACAGCAGAAGTCTTTCTGATCACGCAATGCTAAGGGGACTTTGCTCTTACCGACAGGATCATGCAGGGTTTCTGTATTTGCAGATAGTGGCAACTGCTGCTTTTTCACAAAGTTTAACGGCAAGCTACAGGTCATAGGTAGCCAGGGGACGGCAGCATGGGGAGTTGCAGGCTGCCACAGGAGTCTGAGTTCAAGTGACATCTGACTGAGTTACTGGAGATGCTGGATTCTTCAATGCAGACCTAACCCACATACCCGGGCTGATGGATTATTAGGGGAAAATGGACCTGCTGTCTTTGATTAGCTTTGATTTGCTACCGTGATGGCATATATTGATGTAAAAAGGAAACCACATAAGCTTCTCTTTGTACTGTATTAGAAATGCCTTTGTGCAGGACAAGGCTAAGTTATTTCATCTCAGAATTGAGGGTGAAGTCAATTTGAAAGGAAAGATCAAAAGATGGAAAGTAAGGGGAGGAAGCGCTCTTGAAGCAATATACAGTATAGCTACTCTGCCACCTTAATTTTAATGTCTCTCTGAGCACAGACTGGGGATACAATGCTTTGTGTCCCCATATTAAGAAAGCCCTTTATGATTAGAGCTGAGTTCCCTTTGAACGAGCTCGCTAATTTAAATGAAGGGTTGTGCACTGCTTCACATGCCAATGAGTTATAAAAGACCCAGCTATTTGCTGACTTTCTGCAGACTGCCCACGTGATCTGAAGCCCCTGGCACCGCCTCTGAGTGAAAAACAGAAAGGAGCCCTTAGGCTAATGTCTACACAGGGATAAAAGACCCGCGACCGGCCCACAATAGTGGGGCTTGGGCTCGCAGGGATGAAAAATTGCTGTGTAGACATTCAGGCTCGCAGGTTCCTAGAGCTCAGGCTCCAGCCTCAGCCGAAACATTGACACAGCAATTCTTCAGCCCCGGTGGCCAAGCCCTGTAAGCCCAAGTCAGCTGAGCTGGGCCAGCCCTTAGAAATTCATTTCTTTCAGTGCCTTAGGTGTTCTGCCAGTTAGCTTAAAGGGAGGGATGGAGGGGAGAATGCAGTTAGAGGTGTCAGTAGAGGAGCCTTTTGTCTCCATCTATCTGTGAAGGCTCTTTAGGTTGTGAGATGTATTTGCCCAGTTGTAAACTCTCCTGTTTTCACACACAAACTGCAGAGTGCCTGTAACGCTGTCAACACTGTATTAATAATAGGTGCCTTGTTGTAGATCACTCCTGTTGATTTCAGTGGGAGGAGGAGTGAATCCGTGTAACTGAATGACATCAGGAAAGTTGATCAGTAAGGAAGTGGGACAAGAGGTAGACTAGACTGAACCAAGAGCTTAAGCAAATTAAAAGTCCCACATGAAGGCAGGGTGGGAGAATTTAGTTTGAGTGAGCAGGAAGAATGGGGCTCGGGATGGAGGAGCTTGGTAATCCTATACGAAGCCTAATCCCATAGTAAGACACTCTGCTAAGGTGCTGGTAGAAGGCAGGGGAGGCAGACTCTTTACACAAAGCAGGAGGGGTAAGATGAGGAACACGGTTCTAAAGCTAACAACAGAAAGTAAAAACAAAGTGAGCTGTGGAGAAGATTAGGCCATGAAGATGCCTAGGCATAGGTGCCGACTCAGTGGGCGCTCTGGGGCTGGAGCAACCATGGGGAATAAAATGGTGGGCCCCGCCAATGAGCTCCTCCCTCTCCCCCCACCAGTGCTGGCTACCCGCCGAGGATCAGCTGTTCAGCGGCAGGCAGGAGGCGCTGGGGGGGAGGGGTAGAATAGGGCAGGAAGAGGCGGAGCAAGGGCAGGGCACTTGGGGAAGGGGGTAGACTGGGGGTGGGAAGAGGCAGGGTGGGGACTTGGGGGAAGAGGTGGAGTGGGGGTCGAGCACTCCCCGGGAAATCAGAAAGTCGGCACCTCTGTGCCTAGGGCAGCAATCCTGAGATCCCCTCACTTTCCAGTGAGGCAGTCCTGGCTATGGCCATTGGCAGCAGAAAGTTCTCAAGTTACCTACCACCCCCTCACCTTTCTAGGAGCATTAGGGGACAAGATCCAGCCATGGAAGACCATAAAGTGGACTGGGCCAGCTGGAGAGGGGGTGAGGCCAGGACCTCTCCTGAGGAACCTGTTCAGTCAGCCTGTTGTGGAGGCCTGGTCTGTGTTTAAAGCTTTCCTCCCCCCAGGGATGAATGCACCTATTCCATTTTAGGATCTGTAAGGCCATGCCCCAGGGAGCCCGTGCTCTGAGATTGCTAGCTCGACAGCAGTGAATCAGAGAGGCTGTGACCCCTGAGGCCACAAGGACAATTCTATTAATCAGTTGCAACCTGTGGCTAGTTTCTCTGTTTCCTGAACATCTAACGTATTTCAATGTTTCTCTGCTTGCAGGTGCTAGTCGCCCAGATCCTGAAGAAGCTCAGCAGGCAGCTAGCATGAGCATTTGGCATAGACACGGTGAGGAAGCAAATCCTAGACATCGCCTGCCTGCAGAGCCCTTTCAACCTGCTGAACCTAGTGGGATTCCATCCTCTTGGACATATGAGCAAGAGGGCACAGAAGACATCAGTATTAGAAAGTCTCTAGATAGCTTCTATGAAACATATTGTCAGCTGCAGCCCGGCAGAGGGGATCCCACATACAATTCAGCTTCAGAATGGCTCTCTCTCAAAATTCAGGACCTGGCAAACAAGGAAGGAAGAAAATATTCCTTGTGCAGTCTCCACATGGCCCAGATGGTCTTGAACAGAGATGGGTGTAAGGTCTTTCCAAACCATGCCAGCAATGCTTGTTTCTCAGCACCAGCTAATGGAGAAGTTGCATTGGAAGGAGGACAGCGAACACCGGGACTGTCAGATGATGTCCTCCAATTTCTCTTAAAACAGAATGTGATGAAATCATAGGGCCTGATGTATGGGGCTCAGGGACGGGTGAGCAAGCTGTTTATTTGATTTTGATGCCTCTTTTAGGAGAGGGCACCTTGTGGTATTTAGCTCCTGCTCTGAATAGGTACAGCTCTGCCTCAGGAAAGGTCAATCCTTCCTTGAGCCTCCCAGAGTTGGAGGAACATGCCACTTAAACTGCAAAATCACCCGTTACATCTTCTCTCCTGCTCCCAGACTCCAGCGTGAATTTCACATATGTATTGAACTTGTTTCCCAGCATCTGAGCGGTGACTCTGGTGCTTAGTGGACTTGTTCTCCAGTTCCAACTGTTGTGATTATCCTAAAGCTCACCCTGTGATCATGGGCTAGAAGACATGCCCTTCTCTGAAACTGCCCAAAGGTCTCTCCATACTCCGATGCTAGGGGGTGCTTATACAGAGCTAGATCCTGCTACCTTCATACTCAGCAAATCTTACTCCTCAAGTAGCTCCCATTTATTTCCATAGGGCTATTCACAGAATGCGATGCTATTCAGTGAGAGTTAGTGTGTCAGTGTGGCCCATAATGACAAGGCTCTCTACCACCACCATTTGGATATCAAGCCCTTATCTCTGTATCATCTAAGATTTCCAGCAACCAGGGCTGCTTAACCTGCCTGAACCCCCCGCACTGAGACCTATCCCTTTTATACTTGTTCCAATGTTTGTAAGTCCCATTTACTGCAACAAACAGGATATGGAGTGCACAAGCCTAGGCAGATATCTTTACAGGGTGTGTAGGCTTGGAATAATTAGATTTGTATTGGCAGATGTCAGTTTCACCATGCAAAAAATATTTTCATCAATCATTGACATTTACAGATAAGCAGCATTTTTCTTTGCCTGAGAACTTAGTTTGCTCTGAGGATATTTACTGTGTATATTTTGACATGTGATGCTGACCATTTGAGTTTTGGTGATTACGTTTTTTACATTTTTACTTTTTTTTAATCTCAATGTCTGTCAATTATTGTCTGATCCCCAGACCATAATTTCCTGCAACTGTACAAATTTAACAAAAAGAAAAGGAGGATTGTGGCACCTTAGAGACGAACAAATTTATCTGAGCATAAGCTTTCGTGAGCTACAGCTCACTTCATCGGATGCATTCAGTACAAATTTAAATGGATAAACATTGAAAAAAATGCTTAAAGACAGATATTGTCCATCAAAGTAATTAAAAATAGCCTGTCATAGAAACATCATACTGTACCTAGTCTGATATTCTGCAGAAACAAAAGAATATTTATATAAAACCATTATGCAACCTCCTTCCCTGAACAGACTGACAACTGTGTCCACTGTGTGTCCACGAGAGAAAAAACCTGGTTGTGATCTCACACCAGTTTAACGCCATTGGCATAGATGGATTTACTCCTGAGAGTATGGATTTACTCTTGAGAATCTGTCTGTGTCTTAGAGATGCTAATTGAAAATTAATTGGCTTCATACCAGTTATTTCCCCATTCACCTTTCAAGAAGATGTCTGTAAATGCACTGGCTTAAACTATGTGTTAAAAATGTGATGGAGACCTGGATACACCACTTGAAAAAAGTGAGAGCTAGAAATGCTACCTCTGGATGGCTTGTAGCATTAGCAACCTCATGCTGATGCTTATAGCTCAAGGGAGCTATCACCAGACAGTAAATCCCCAACCTCCCACCCCGCCCTCCGTATGGACTGTAGAGAGACAACCTGAAAAATATTTAAGGGTTGAGAGGTATTAGTATGTCTGAGATACTCAGGAAATGGGACTCCAGGGATGTGTTCTTCATAGTGAAGGCTCCTGTGCAAAGCATATGTCTGCTGCTTTGCTGTTAAATTGTTGTGGGAAGCAGATGACCAAGCTCAAGGATTTCAGCCATTTTAAACAAAAGAGCTGGTACAATTCACCGTAGCTCCATCGACCTGCACTGATTTCTCCACAGCTTGATCTGTCCATTAACATCAAAGAGGCTGTGTCCCTTTACGCCATCTTAGGATTTGAGTGAGTTAATATTTATATCTCACATACAGCCCATTCGTTGATGTTATTCTTTGTCACTCCTATAAAGAATGCCTAGAGATTACTTTCCTGGTATGTTGACCGATAGGAGGGAATTGTACTTTAGAATATTTTTTCTATATACTTCTGTTTTGGTGTGGTTTTTGTTACTGTATTAACAGCTGATAAGCAGTTGACAGCTGGTTACAGCAGTTCATCTATTTCTCTGTGGGCTGTTATTCTGTCTGTCCTGATCCCTTTACTACTACGGTTTTACTTAGGCAAAATGCCTGTTGGCTTCACTGAGAGCTGTGACTAAGTTACGGACTTCAGGATTTGGCCCATTATTACTTTTTCATTGTTGATTGTTTGTCTAGTTACACTGGAAGGTGATTGAAAGCAATCACGGGGGGGGGGAGGGACAACCCTATTTCATATCACTGGTTGCAGCCTTCCACATGCAGTTTTTATAACACACTGGGCCTGATCCTGATATCAGTGGGAGTTCTAAGAGACCAGTTGTCTTCTCCCTGGCACTGGTGAAAAGCAGGAGTAACTCCATAGGCAATCTATACAGTTACGTTGAAGTGATTGAGAAGAATAAGGCCCAAGGTGCACAAGGAATGCAGGATCAGGCCCTCCACCTAAACCTTTGTTGGAAACATGCTGAGATAGCAAATAGCTTTAGTTTGATCTCTGTCTCCGATGCAGCTGTCAGTCAGACTGAAGCAGCTCTGGTACGAGCTGTGCCCTGTGAAATGATGTTTAGCCAGGATCAAACAGCGCTTCCTTTCCTAGCTCAGTCATTTAGGTTTCTTTTATTCAGTCACTGTAGTCTTAATTTTTTAAACATTATGTTTTTAATTATTTAAAGGGGACACGCAGGTGAAAAACTATCTCCTTACCTAGCTCATTAACACCACAGGTTTGACCTAGGGTAGGTCTGCACTGCAATCAGAGGTGAGACTGCAGCATGTGTAGACATAGCTAGATCAAAGCTCGCTTAAGTATCTTGACTAACAACAGCAGTGAAACCACAGCAACACAGCACAGACGGTACACGCCCACCCAGGATCAACTAGCCTGAGCTTCGCTGCTATTGTTACTTGAGATACAGAGATCAAAGCTAGCTCCAGTATGTCTACACATGCTGCAGTCACACCCCTGATGCAGGGTAGATATAGCCTTAGGCCTCCTCTACGCCAGGAAATTAGGTCAGTGTAACCATGTTTCTGAGGAGTGTGAAAAATCTACACCCCTGAACAATACAGTTAAACCAACCTAACCCCACTTGTAGACAGCGCTAGTTGATGGGAGAATTCTCCTGTCGACCTAGCTCCTGCATCTCCAGAAGGTTAAGTCCTATGCCCATGGGAGAACCCCTCCTGTCAGTAAAAACAACAAGGAGTCCTTGTGGCACCTTAGAGACTAACAAATTTGGGCATAAGCTTTCGTGGGCTAGAACCCACTTCATCAGACAGACTAACACGGCTACCACTCTGAAACCTGCCTGCCTGCATAGGTAGCTTCTTCACGGAAGTGCTACGGTGGCGTAGCTGCACCGCTGCAGTGTTTTAAGTGTAGAAAAGGCCTCGGTTTTCACAATTTATGCTGTTTGCTTGCTCTATACACATTCATTCAGCAATTCAACGAGTCCATTTCACTTCTGTTTCTCAGCAGTTTTCAATGTCTGGTTCTGAAGCTCAGGCAAAATGCTGGAATATTTGGATTGCAAACCCGGCAGGAGAAATTTTTGGGGAAGTGGGGTGAAAACAGTTTTTGCTGTTTTTTCTTCTCTTTTTACTTCATGAAAAGACCTCTAGTGTTAGCATTTGTAAATTCTAAAAAGATCACCACCACCACCACACACACACCCCCTAACAACTTTGGATCAGATTTTCAGAAGTCTTTAGACACCTACTGGGATGTTCAAAGGTGCTTAAGCAGGTTAGGCACTTAGGTCCCGTTGAAACCAATGGGAAGTAGACGCCTCAGTTGTTTAGGTGCTTTTGAAAATTCCACTGTTGAAAATCTGGCCCTTTCAGCCTTAAATATCTGCCTGTCCCCACTTTAAGGTGCAGTGTTCAGTATCTGCAGAGACACTTGCTGTTAAGAGGTGTTTACATCAGTTCTCTCTAGTTCAGTCATTTTTATTAAATGAAAAAAGATCTCCACAGTGAACAAACGCTACATCATTCTTTCTCCACTCACTGCCAATTAATTTTTTACAAACCTATTCTGGAACCTACTGTATATGCTTCCACCTCTGCTAAAAAGCCAGATCGTTTGCATTACTCATTTCCTGATAAACATCTATCTGCTGTTTCTTATTCAAGAAATTGGGAAACAAGTATATCCCTCCCCTTTGTCAACGGGTTTAAGCAAAAAAATGACTGCTTTCAACACTTTAAGGAAATGGAATCAGTGCTTAATTTATGCCAGGGCTGAGCCCCAGCACCTCTAGGCTAAGCAGTTCATAGCCCCGGCATCTCTGGGCTTGCTCCATCAGTTATGAATGTAAAAAGTTGCTTGACCCCCAGAACCTCTTTAATTACAAATTAAGCACTATCTGGCATTTTATGGTGCTAGAGAGATATTGCAATAATAAATATCACTTGCAAGCAACAGCACATCTGGTCTAATTGAGGTCAGCATCTGAATTTTTACAAACTAATTTGCAAATATAGGATGAGTTACATGGAATGAACTAAGCAGTTTTCATATTTACCAAATTAAAATGTTCTGGGTTTGTTGTTGTTTTTGAAATAAAAACACTTGATGAAAAAAAATAGTGGGGAGTTTTACGTAGGGCTGAATTCTGACACCTTGACTCCAATAGTCCCATTGATATGGGACTCAGTAAAATAACTACTCAACAGGGCTAGTTCTTTAGTGCTAAGGCCCCTTTATGCCGCTCCAGCACATGAAAAGATGGGAGTTGCCTTACCAAGTGGGAGGTCAGTCCCACTTGGTAAGGCAACTCCCATCTTTTCATGTGCTGTGTATTTATACCTGCTACCGTATTTTCCACTCCATGCATCTGATGAAGTGTGTTCTAGCCCACGAAAGCTTATGCCCAAATAAATGTGTTAGTCTCTAAGGTGCCACCAGGGATCCTCATTGTTTTTCCTGATACAGACTAACACTGCTACCACTCTGAATCTTGAGGAGTGGGCGTCTTCTAATGAAAAATTGATCCTGGTTCCTGTGAAACCAGCTAGCTCTGCAACAGACTGGACTTTGGGGCAGGGGAACCAACTTTATTAGCTAGGAAAGGTAACTTCATACAGTGGAGATCCAGGTTCACATTTTATCAGTTTGTTTTGTATTGTAACCATTTGTTTCCATCACTCTCTTTTTTCTAGTAGTATCTTTTATCCTTTCCTAAGCTTTCTTTTGTTTTATTACAAGTGCTGTGGTATACAGGAGAAGGTGGTTTACTGGAGTACACTACACCTTTGAGGGCAGAAGATCTGGGATTTCCCTGATTAGCCCGTGTCAGGGCTGGATATCACAGGAACAGCTTCAAAGGGACCCAGGAACTTGGGTGCACCTGTTCTTAACTGCAAGTCAAAGACAGGGCTGGCATAGCCCAGAGGAGAGAGTGTGTGGGTGGCTAAAAGGCTGGTGGTGTTAGGCAGCTGACACCCAGTGAGGCATGGGCAAAGCTCCCTCATGCTAGAGGTAATAAGGTGACATAGTCCTGGGTACCCTGAGAACTGTGTCACCTCCTACTCCTCAGCAGAGCTGCAGAAAGGCCACTGGGCAGAAGTAGCCTCAGTGGAATGGCCCCTCCGGCAGCACCAATTCCTGGCATGTCTGCCTGAATCTGGCCCCACGGCCCAGCTCAGCCAGTCGTCGGGTGCACACCAACCTTTCCCCTTCCCCAGAACAAGCAGCCTGTGGTGCCAGAAGTGTGTGGGGAGGAGCTGGGGAGGCAGGAAGATACTGAGGGGAATGCAGCCTCTGGGGGAGTTTGGGGAGCTCAACTGCAAAGCCACCCTTGTGGAGAGGTGGTGAGTAGTAGAGGGGCATGGTTGAGCCTGGAAGAAGACTTCTGCCCTTTTACCAGAATCAATGGCTATGTTGGTTAGGCTCTGCAAAGGTGCAGGCTCTTCCCCGCAAACTCAGCCCACGCTGGGATACGTCATCCTAGAGACCTGCACCCCTGACATAGAGCAGACCACATCCCTCCTCTTGAGAGCTGGCTCAACCACGGTCTCTGCTGGCCTGTCTGGATCCTAGAACTCCCTGAATAGATTTGCTCCAGGACCATAATGCATACTTTCAATATACTTCCATTATTCCTTAACTATTACCCATGCATACATCTTGAATGGATTATGAATTTTGACAAGTTATGAGCTTTCTATATATACTTCATGTGCTACTCTTTATGGACATATATCCTGCAAGACATGTGTGTGGTGTGGTGAGTTTGTTAGATCTGAGCCAAGAGTTGTTTGCAAAGAACAGGGGACCCTTTGCTAAGGAGCCTGTGCGTCATAGGAAGCTTTGAGCAACAGCAGATCATCCTGCCCTGCTCTTGCCTGCCCCCTCGGAGTTAAGCATCAGTGTGCTGGATCTGGCCTTCATCCCACTTGCCACAGCTCACACTACACGTCAGTCCCAATTTGGCCACCCAGGTTTCATGGCTTCGAGCCCTATGCTTAGTTCACTAGCTCACTGGCTCTCATAGTCAATGTTCCCTCAGCCCTACAGCTGTGCAGGGTCAGGGACACAAAGCATGCCCATTTGGATGGTTCAGAGGCTTCTTTTTGTCAGTCTCTAACACTGGCTTGAGATGGGGCTAAAGAATGCAAAGGAAACAGCTTCTTATCCCCCTCCCCAGTTTATTGCAAATGGCTCTCAAGCAACTGCTTTTGTGACAGTACCAACTGGATCCCTAGGGAAGCCTGCTCTTGAAAAATGCATCAGATCTTCTGCGGCAGCCCTTGGAGGTGTGTGTCAGTCTGTAAACCCAAACACCACCACGTAAGATCTTCCCTTCCCAGACCACCTCTCTCCCCATAGTGTAGGTGGAACGGTTCCTGTGCTGTGCTCTGCTCCCCTTGCCCAGAAGGCATGGCTTAGCACCCTTCACACAGGCCCACATTATTGCCTATTGGTTTGCTATCCCTTAAATGTGGATTTCTCCAGTGACTCTAGTCAAATTGGGAGAATCAGTTTCGGGCTGTGAGTGCCTCACTACTGTTCCTTGACTAACCGTGGGCAGCAAGAGATGGGGCACAGTCCACTAATAAAAGAAAAATGATTCAGGGGGCCAAAGTCCCGTAAAGCTGTAGGGCCAGATTCCCAGCTGGTATAAATGGGCATAGCTCCCTGCCTACACCGACTGAGCATCTGGTCTTTGGTGCTCTTTGTATAAACCCATTTCTGAAATTGTCGGTGCCCTGCTGCTGCCTTGCTGGAATGATCTGGTCTCTATTTCAGATCTATGCGTGGCAGACTCCAGGCTAGGTAATTGCTTTCTGCCCACTTTAAATGGCCTCTGCAGTTTCACATGGATACAGTATTCCTCCCTTCCTACATTAAACTAATCAGTGGCATTGCTCTGCTCTGCAGCAGCGCCCGGGGAAGTCAGTAGGAGTTTTGCTATTGACTTCAATGGGAGCAGCTGCTGCTGCCTGTCACCCCAGAGATGCCTGGTTTCCATGGCAGGTACAGTGGTTCTCTAGCTGGCAAACAGGTTTGTAAAGTACACTGGAGATCCTTCAGGAGGAAAGTTGCCATCTTAATGCAGATCGCTACCATCATCGCATGGCTGCTTATCCATTCTAGTCACAGTGTATCACTGTTGCCTGTCATAATCTAACTGAGGAGTTACTAAAACATGAGTCGGGATAATGGGCCAGATTCTCAGCTGGTGTAAGTTGGCATAGCTCTATTGAAGTCATTTGGGCTATGCCGATTTACACCAGCTAAGAATCTGGTTTAAGGTTATTAATCTCAGGGCAGAGGCATCACAAGAATAAACATCTCACTGCTTTTGAAGGGGCACGTTCTGTGCCCCTACCGCGGCCCCGTGACCAGAGGAGCTCGCTCTCCCTGCTATGGCCCCAGAGCCGGAGGCGTTCTGTGCCCTTGCTGATTATTGTGCACACCCCTGCCTCAGGGTAATGTGATCCAGGAGCACTTCTATGGGACTAAATAGCTTTCAATCCCTTATGACACAATGGTAGTCTCTCTCCGCACACAGATAGATATGCTAGTGTTGATGCAGTTGTGTCAACAGGGCATTCAGTACGTAGCAAGAATCCGATACAAAGGCTTTCCTCTGGCACTTGCTCTGATTCAGGCAGTTAAATGTTAGTTGCCCAACAAACCATTTAATTTTCATTTTGAAAGAAATAAAGTCCCATCTAGGAGAATCAGAGACCTTGGGTCTGAATCTTTTCAAATATGGCCCTGGGTTCAGATTGGTCCTAGAACCAAAAGGCCCAAGAACTTGTTTCCCCATTCTGATTTGTACATGGCCAACTCTTCCAAGAACAGCTGTGAAGTCGCAGTCCAAAAATGGCAGGAATCAGTCAAGATCAGTCACTCTTGAGAAAGTTCTGTCATTATTGGCCTACAACTTCTGAGACAAGTCTACAAGATTTCCACAACATGGAAGCCAAGCCCTAACTGACTGCCAATCCAAACCATAGATTAACCGTAATCCAGACCCAGACCCCACCACCACCTCCTCTGCCCAGAGTTCACTGGCCACATCTATTCAACGTCACTGTTTGGTAACATAGAATTATCACCTGAATCCTGACAGACACTGATGTTCTGTTTTCTCATTTCTTGCATATTATCCATAAATTATTCAAGGGGCTGAGCGTATAACTTACTTCTGCTGTTGATGTGCTCCTTTAAGGTTAAAGTTGCATTGCGCTAGCTTGCCATAACTCTTGTACAGCCATTTAACTCAGTAAATTTTGTGTCCTGTACAGGAAATTGCTGGTAAATACTAAGCCAATTTCCACACATGCACAGTTCATAAAATGACAGAGAGATAATAAAAGATTATATTTTGTGACATAGTACTTATCACTTTAAAAACATTAACATAATCAAGCTTATATCACCCCACTCCTCCACATGGTAGGTAAGAATTATTACCCCAGTATGTGGATAGTGGAAACTGAGGTAGAGAACTACTGGCAGAGGCACAACTGGAACTGAGAAGTTCTTCAGCCCCAGCCATACGTACAAACCATTAGATCTTACTGCCCACACACGATTATATTAGTGACAAAGGAATTCCCACACTGGCTTAGAACCATGGTCCCTCTACTCCAGTATCCCGTCTCTGGCAGTGACCAGTACCAGCTGCTTCAGAGGAAGGTGCAAGGTATCGTGCAATAGGCCGTTGTGCAATAACCTGTAATCCGCTGCAGAAGTTGCCCCCCCAATTGGACAGTTTGAGGTTAGCATACGCGCTGAAGCATGAGGATTTACATACCATCCAAACCCTAGGTTATTTTTAACCCTTGCTGTTACAACTCAGGATGTTCTCGTTATCCACTGAGCTGTTAGATCCCTTTCTGAATCCCGCTAACGTCTTCCAAAGGTGAACGAGAATTATCACCCCCTGCAGTAGAGTGTGCCCCACCTTAAAGCTGAAGAAGTTCCAGTGTCCATGAGAATCTTGTAGATGACTTGATTCACCTTCCTTTGTGATGTTTCCTGGTAGAAGTTGTCTTCACGGAATGCTCAGTATTTCTAATACTTGTACCTTTACAGACAACTACCCCCACAAAGCACATATATTAATTCCACTTGAAAACTGATGTCTGGAAATATGTTTAGCTCTGCCTCTGTCAGATGAGACCTTAGCAGACAGAGGCTGGCCTTCCCAGTCTATATACATCTCAGGTGCTCTTAAACATACCCAGCTATCACTGATCTGCAAATTTCTAAACGGATGAAAGAGTAAAGAGATTCCATCTGCATTCAAGCCTTTTGGGAATGAGGCGCAACTAAGAACAAGGAAACAGAGACAGGGCAGAACCAAAAGAGCATGCACGTAGAGCCTCAGAAGATGATAGTCTGAAGTTATTAAACTTTACATCTAACCAAAACACACTGGGGACAGCTGAGATCCCAAGCACATGACTCAGATCTGCCATCCTGGCTGGAGCTGCACAAAGGAATATATACACGTGTCCTTTGGGGAAGTGCAGCTATCACAGTCTGTTGCAAAAAGGTTTGTCAGCATAATAGTCAAATATGCCACCAGGGTTCACATTCTGCCTGAGCAGCATTTGCTTCCCAATCCATAGCAGTCCACACAAGTAAACAGCAGGTGACATTAGCAACAATAGTGGGTAAATGTATCATGCCATCTCCTAGGGAGGACCCCCCCCCACACACACACACACCCATCTTATCCTTAGGTACTGAACCATTGTAACAGGTGGCCAGCATTGCCTCCTGGAATAGATCTAGCTATATCCTGCAGGAGAAAGATATCGGACATACATCTGATCCATACTGGGATAACCTGCCCTCTGAGCAAAACTAACCCATTTTGCTTATGCCCTGAAGCGCTGCCCAACATGACATGCTCATAAGCAAACTGGGGAAATGTGGCCTAGATGAAATTACTACAAGGCGCATGCCCAACTGGTTGCAAAACTGTATTCAAGGAGAAGATATCAATGGTTCACTGTCAAACTGGAAAGGGCATATTAAGTGGGGTCCCACAGGGTTCTGACCTGGGCCCACTACTATTCAATACTTTTGTCAATGACTTGGATAATAGTCATTTGCAACCCTGAATCCAGACATAGAAAGGGAAGGTCTGATGATACCCTCAGAGTCTCTCTTCAGTTGGGGGCAGACCTGGTTATCAGGTTTAACGACGTATAATGAAAACCCACCAAGCTTTTTTCAAAGCATGAGGGAGAGGGAGGGTGAGTAGGCATTGCTTGTTTCTTTCGCTTAATGCCAAGTGTGGTTTTGCAGGAAGACCTTTTGAAGTACACTGGTGTGTATTTTGGACTCTCTGACTATAACTGAATGGAGGGAGGACTGTTTGACTCTTCAACAAGGGCATCCTTTCTCCCAAGTTGTGTACTAGGCATTGGGGTTCAGAGGTGTTATCAAAAAACACACCCAAACTGGATCCCACTCCTATTGAAAGACCTAGCAGGCTCAGAAGTGTCATAATCCCAGTCAGCTGTGTTCTCATTGGCTCTGGCACTGACATTTAAGAAAATACTGATTTGCATGGAGAGTAATTAAGAAGAGAAGTTTTGTGGAAGAGTAAATTATCTACAGTGGAAATAAACACTTCTTGGATTCCTAGGGGAAACCAACAGACAGCACAGCATTTGTTTAGCTGGATGATAATGCAGCATCTGCCAGGTTACTCGTAATAGCTTCCATAGCTGGGCTGTCTATGT